TGTTTGTCCGTTTTCATTGGACTAGCTCGGCGTTTATATCAGGAAGTGCTGGCGTGCACACTGGGGCCTTCCACTGGGATCAGCTCGCGTTCCCTTTTATGTTTAAGATAAGAAGTCGTTTTTATGAATGAAAGCGGCTCCTTTGAATTTCGCCTCCCTCTGCGATCCGATGTGGAGCGCCGACGCGCTTCTATAAATGAAACAAAGGCTGATGGGAGTTCTGAACAAGTGGGTTACCCAGTTTGTAGAGTGAAAGGTCTCTGAGTGGCTGCACTTCCTGCCAGATGGCTTCATGTCAGGAGACCAGATATCCACCTGGATTTAATCCAGAAGGAAGTTTTATTTAAAATTTTATCTGCTGAAACAGAAGTGAAGGTTTGTAGCTGTGACCTCCGTCAGTCTGGAAACTGCGAGACTCACAGGAGACAAAGTGCAGCCTCTGGTTTACAGTTTATAGAACAATTAGGAATAAATCATCAAATCAATGCCTCAAAATCAGCAGTGAATCCATCCTTTTTTTCCTCAGAGCTTCAGTTCATCCTGGAACTATTAACCTGAAAGCCAGAGTGGAAATGCTGATCGCTCTCTGACCTCGGGAGAGAAGACGAACGCCGTCCTGGCTGAAACGCCTTCAGAACAACGAGCCTTTTAACGTTCTGGTAACTGCAGTTTGGGGTGCGCGCTCAGAGATGCGCCAACAGATCCTTCCTTGTGAATAACAGGACAGGGCTAACCTCTGTACCGCCGCGCTGTTACAACTTAATAATAATAATAATAATGGATTGGATTTATATAGCGCTTTTCAAGGCACCCAAAGCGCTTTACAATACCACTATTCATTCACACACTGGTGGAGGCAGCTACAGGTGTAGCCACAGCTGCCCTGGGGCAGACTGACAGAAGCCAGGCTGACATATCGCGCCATCGGCCCCTCTGACCAACACCAGTAGGCAAGTAGGGTAAAGTGTCTTGCCCAAGGACACAACGACCAGGACAGAGAGCTCGGGGATCGAACCGGCGACCTTCCGGTTACAGATAGGCTTCCCAACCCCCTGAGCCACGGTCGCCCCGTATACAACACCTTGCTTTGGTGTCACTCACGAAAGGATGTGGAGAGAAAAACAGAATCTGAAAATGATCCATCCACAGAGGAAGTCATTCATGACAAGTTCAATTTTATTTATAAGGTGCTTTATATTGTAAGGACCCTACAATGACACCGAGGAAACCCCGACAATCAGAGGACCCACTTTGAGCTAGCAGATCCTTTCCATCGTGGTTGGCGTATCAGATGACTTTCAGGCTAACGGGAGTGAAAAGCAGCGTGACTGAAGCGGAGCGTGAGGCCGTCAGACTCACCTCTGGCAGGCAGCTCGAGCAACACTCAGTAAAATCTATAATTATGAGTGAAGACGCCCCCGACGCGCTGCAGATGCCTTCCTACACAAAGGCCCTGAAACATCCCACCAAGTTCACCGCCATCCTCAGACGCCATGGCAACAGACGAGCGAGCGTCACAGAGCTCAGACGAGGCTCTCATCTCGACATCTGCATCATCGAACGAGCTCAGGCTGAATACCTGCTTCAGTCACACCTGAGCTTCTGTCAGGAGGACAGATGAACCTCGGTGGAGGCTGAAATTACTGCTTCTGTATATTACAGGAAACAATCTGTCGCTTTATCAGATAATCAACAATAAATAATAATTACTGTGATTAAAGATGTTTTTTGGGAGACTTTTTTTAATCTCGTCACAGGTATAATTTGGAAGCAATGTCAGGTGTTGTAAACACTACAGGCCATTTTTATTTTAGTCATAATAAACTGTCAGCCTGCAGTTCCTCTGCTGGACAGCAGGGGCAGCAGTGAGTCGGTTACAGTAGAAGTAACCGTGTTTACGGCCTGATACACAGACCGTTCGTCTCTGTGGATAATTTCCCCTTCATACCACCTGCACGGGGAGGATGTTGTTATAACTCAACTCCAAAGTTTGCATTTATTAGGGGCGTGGCCTCTGACAGGTGGATGATGACACAGGCGGCTGTAGCCGCTAGCTTCACCTCAGCTAACTGTTCCTCTGCACCGTGTGTGCTGCTGGAGCGTTTTCAATGCAATGATCTGTTCACTGATTCGCTGCGGTTCCTCCTGGGTGTCTCGAAGTCGTCTCAGGGACTCAGATGTCTCGGCTGTTTTGCGATCGCCTCGGTGTCCCTCTGGATAATTTGGAGGGGAGGGCTTCTGCTTGGCCCTGAGGCCTGGAAGTGACAGAAGATCATTTGATGATGACGGGGTTTTGGGGGTTTTAGCTGTTCGGGTCATTTTTTACATTTTTAGTTTGGCCTCAAACACAGCAGCTGCCCAAAAGCAGCCACTGACCGGCTGATTATCAGCAGCCTGACAGGTGACCGCAGCAGCAGGGCCGTCGCTCATTTTCAGAAGGAAAGTTTCCCGACGTCGAGATGCAGATGCATCGATAGCCTCGAGTGAAGAGCGACCCAGATCAATGTGTTTGACATGAGTGGAGCGTCCTACTTCCTGTGTGTGTGTGTGCGTGTGCGTGTGTGTGTGAAATCAGCAGCATCTTCAGCTCAGACTGAAACACGACTGAAGTTTGGACGATTTGTCCGTCGACAGACTCGTTAAACAATCGTGTTTGATATTTTGATATTTTGTGAAACAGCTGTGTGGAGCAAACTGCTGAAACCCCAAATTTTGATGTTTGAGATAAGAAAACCGTTAAAAGGACCATGTTTAAAATGGAAATGAAGTCAGAGTATGACCTCACTGACACGTCGACATTTGAAGGCAACGCGTCAGAGGCTGAAGCTCATCGGCTGCGGTGCATTTATTTGTTTTTAGCAGAAACTTTTCTGGTTTTGTGTTGTAACCTTTTAAAATCTGAAGCATCAAATGATTTTTACAATTGGTGTTTAGATGATTTGACCCTCCTGCTGCGTGCTCAGTCATCCAGGTAAGGAAATCCCGGGGCTGGCTCGTGTGGACGCGGCGTTTTCAGTGTGAGAAACGTTTCGTCATCATCCAGGTGACTTCTGAACAAGTCTGTTCTTCAGTCTTGACTTCAGTTTGTATTTCATGCAGTGGTCTGTTTGGAGTCGGAGTTTCTCATATTTATTAAAACGTCCATGTTTTTAAAGCTCGCGATGACGTCAGAGATCTTAGTGACGGGCTGATGTGGCGCTCTGGTCTCAGCTGTCTGTGAGCAGCAGCTCAAAGCTGTGCACGCTCCTCTCAGCCAGGGTTGCATCATAAATGTTCACTCGGTTCATAAAAGTGGCTGCAGCGTCGCTGCTCTGCCAGCTGGATGTTTGCTGTGAGCTCTCACGTTATAACAGCTGACCTGATTCTGAAGCAACTGTACACACAAACAGGCGATGATGATGAGGAGGAGGAGTGTCGGGAGGTTTGAGGATGACGTCGGCGCTGATGTGCTGGATCCAGCTGGGGAAAAGCTGAGTCCCTGCATGCAGCGCCTTTCAGCAATCTCTTAAACCAGGGGTGGGCAACTCCAGGCCTCGAGGGCCGGTGTCCTGTAGGTTTTAGATCCCACCCTGGGTCAGCACACCTGAATCACATGATTAGTTCGTTACCAGGCCTCTGGAGAACTGCAAGAAATGCAGAGGAGTCATTTAGCCCTTTAAATCAGCTGCGATGGATCATGGACACATCTAAACCTGCAGGACACCGGCCCTCGAGGCCTGGAGGTCCCCACCCCTGTCTTAAACGGTCGCATTCCAGGATGCTCACTGAGACGCTTCAACATCTGATTGGCTGTTACCTGACTGCACTGTCAGGTAACGACACGTCGTCATGCAGCATCCGCTCATGACAACAACCTCATTTTATTAAACCAGGCACAACTAGGTAATCCTCATCAGCCAATTAAAATGGAGCTCCGCCTTCTTGAACTTCCTGTTACTACAGTAACCTCACAGCAGCCATGTTATTGGTCAGATGATGTCATTAAAAATGTGCCAGAGTGCTCCAACAGCACAAACACAGTCCAGGGGTCCAGCTAGCAGCTACAGCCGCCTGTGTCGCCATCCACCTGTCAGTCAAAGAGGCCCCGCCCCTAATGATTCATGCAGTCAAACAGGCTGTAACAGAGGCGGAGCCAGACATGAATCACTGCTGCAGCCTCCAGTGGACGTTACAGGAACTGCAGCCGTGATGTTCCTCAGCCAAGTCTGCGGGTGGGGTCAACCCTGACGGCAGGTGGGTCACATGGTGCCTGTTCCCACGCTGCGGGGTAGGTGTTAGTCAGTCACAAGTCTCCCATCAGTCCTGCAGACACCCAGTCACCCATTTCCCAGGAGGCTTTGGGGCCCTCAGGCTTAAGGATGTGGGGCGATCAGCCTGTTTCTGCTCTGCAGAGCAGCCATGTGTCAGGTGTTGGTGACTTCCTTCTGAGTAACACGATGAATCAGGTCTTGTTATGTTATTGTTTGTCATATGTTTGTTAGGTTAAGTTATTTACGCTGCTGATCCAGGATCAGACCGCAGGACTGAAGGTGCTGCGTTATTGTAGATTTCCCACCAAACCGCTGCGGACCCCTGCGTGCTGTTTGTGTTTTGCTCAGAGGCTAACTTCAGTGTTCAGCTCCTGAACGCACCGCAGTGCAGCTGCTGAGTCTCACACTGTCGGTCTGCACTGTAACGACGATTGTGACTGTGCAAACGGCGCCGCGTCGTTCCCCGCTGGGTCCCGGTGGAGTTGGTCGGTAATCCGTCCACAGCCGTCTCCGCCGTGTTTAATGGAGATTAGATGTGTTTATGGACCTCCTGAGGCGTCGTTAATCTCATCGCTGCTCGCTCGCTTTGCTTTTTGTGTGCGTTTCTGTCTTTAGCCTCATTCAATTAAGCGAACTTTGGTGTTTAATCAGACACAGGGGACTGAAGCTGCATGTCTGGAGTGGGAGAATATGTTAAAATGAAGTTTAAACCTCGGCCCCGCCTTCATTTGGTGTTTCCTCTGCTCGCAGGCTCAGATCGCCTTCCTGCAGGGCGAGAGGCGGGGCCAGGAGAACCTGAAGAAGGACCTGGTGAGACGAATCAAGATGCTGGAGTACGCTCTGAAGCAGGAGAGGTGAGATCCTTTTACCAGGGTCACATATTTCACATGCAAACACTTTGATGAGGAAACGAATCCTCTCTGCCCCGACCTGAACTCAAAGGAAAACGTTCGCTCACACTTGAGATGCGACATTGGTTTGGGAGAGACCACGGCCGTAGAAACACGGGGGTGTTCCTCCCACTGCCAACAAGAATGATCAGTCAAAGTTGTTCATAAACATGTCCTCTGTTTATGAACGTCACTCAGAACTGAAATATGAACCTTTTAAAGTTTCCAGCTCATGTTTTAGTTCCAGGTCCTGGTTTAGCTGCCATAGTGAAGGAGTTTCCATTCAACTCAACTTTATTTATACAGCACCAAATCACAACAGCAGTCGGCTCAAGGTTCTTTATATTGTAAGGTAGAGCCTACAATTATACATACAGAGACAACCCAACAATCATATGACCCCCTATGAGCAGCGCTTTGGTGACAGTGGGAAGGAAAAACTCCCTTTTAACAGGAAGAAACCTCCAGCAGAACCAGGCTCAGGCCTATTAACACATAGTGAGTGAAGAAGAAACACCCAATGCATCATGGGAATCCCCAGCAGCCTACACCTATTGCAGCATCACTAAGGGAGGATTCAGGGTCACCTGGTCCAGCACTAACTATGTGCTTTAGTCCATCTGAGAAGTAAAATGCATGAAGCCCGAATGAGATAAAGACGTTTGTGATATCTGTGTGTGTCCTCAGAGCCAAATACCACAAACTGAAATATGGCACCGAGCTGAACCAGGGAGAAATCAAACCTCCGAGTTACGACTCAGGTAAGAGTTTTTCTGACTGTTTTTCCCGTCTGCACAAATTCAGCGTCGTGTTCGGTCAGAGGCACGAAAATCACAGTTTAAGTTTCCAACAGCACTAACCCATCTCACACTGCATGTGTCCTACATGAAAATGTAATTAATGTCTGCACTGAAGCCTTCAGAGTCGCCCCCTGCTGGCCATCACAAAGAAACGCAGCATTAGGATGATCTTCTTCACGCTTGCTGTGGTTCCTCTGCTGCTTGTGCTTCTCTCTTCGCTCCTCACCTCTGAGTTTGATGCTGGGAGGAGCCTCTCTGCTGCCTCCCTGTGGACACATCAGAAATAAACTGGGCCTTTTATTTGCTCTCATCTGTTAACATGTGACGGTTCCCGGGAGGACATATTTCAGGAGAGGGGCATCTGCAGCACGATGCTTTGGGAATTCACGGGTGGATGGACGCAAACGTAACGTGTTCTCTGTTTCAGACGACGACAACGAGGCTCCGAGTCCTCCGAACAGCAGCCATCAGCTCAGCTGGAAACAAGGACGCCAGCTGCTCCGGCAGTGAGTGCACACACAGACACACACACACAC